TATATAGTTTGATCACCTGTCCTAACACGTCATACTACTTTTTCTTGATGATCCTTATTGGATAGTTATTTTTCCTTCTGTTAGCATCCAAACATCCAGGGTCTCTTGAATTTTTGAAGATGTGTATTTTCCTGTAGAGACAAGAGCAAAACCCTGCCCCATACCTTATAAGGTTTCTTACCACCTGTATTGTTGTCACCACTGTGGATGAGCTGTCATTTCTCTTTCTCAAGAGTTTTCCCTTTATCAAACTGAATATTTATTAATTTTGACGCTATCCATAGTTTTTATTCTCCTGTGGAAACAAGAGAAAAACCCCATCCCCAACATAGCACATCTCCTGGTTTCCATTGTGAAGTCAACACATCCATGAAATAAACTGACTGATTTAATTCAGAAGACTTTTCTATTATTCAATGTCTTTCTGCTTCTTTTGTCCCTTTCTCATTAGTCTTAATGAAATTAAAGATTAATAAAGCATTATGCAATCTATTCCGGGGGGGTGTGGTATTTTCCATCCATTTCTGTTTATATAACATATCCTTTATAATTCAGTTTAATCTTTCTACAACTGCCTGACATGTAGGATTGTGTGGTATACCTGTAATATGCTTTATATTATAATAAGCAAAAAACTGTTTCATTTTCTTAAAGACATATGCTGGACCATTTTCTGTCTTTATTTTTGCAGGTATATCCATGATGTCCATAACTTGTAAAAAAAAGTACGATTACTGAATCAAACTTTTCTGAGTTCAAAGCAGTTGCCCACTGAAAACCTCAGTAAGTGTCAATGCTGTGGTGTAAATATTGGTACACTTTGAGTTAGTTCCTGCAGAAAGAGGTCTTTGGTTATAGTAAGAGCAAGGTGGACATCTCTCTATAATCTTTTTAGTTCATTGCTATGTAATAGAAAACTCTTTAAACCTTTGCTATTGGCATGATGTTTCTTATGGAATTCTGCGGCCTTAAATGTGCTCTCAATTAATAATTGATGAATTTCTTCATTACCTTGTGCTAGAAGACCTGGAAGACCTGTATGTATGTGTTATGTATATGGGACAAAGCCTATTCCTGATTATATCTTGTACCTGTCTGTAACATGATGGGCCTGCTTGTCGGGGGTTACTGTCCTGCCCAGTTGCCATAGCTGGTAAATCCAAAAGAAAATCACACATAGGTCTCTTCAAGTTATAAACTGATTGGCCCTTTAGCTTAGGCTTCTTATTAACTCTTATACCTTATATTAACCCATTATTCTTATCTTTGTTAGCCACATGGCTCAGTACCTTCTTCAGTGGGGTAGGTCTTGCTTCTTCGGTGTATGGGCAGAACTGCAGGAACGGCTTCCCCCTTCCCAGAATACTCCTGTACTCATTGCCCTGCCTCTATTTTACTGTCTGGTTGTCCAACCTATACTTCCTGCATGGATACTGGCCTAAAAACATTTATTTAAATTAGGATTGACGGAATACAGACAATTCTCCTGAACCACTTCCCCCTTAAAAAAAAAAACTAAGGAAAATATCCATAATCCATTATGGGGGGGGGATGTGGGCATAGTATTCCATGATACTTCCAGATGGTTGGTAGTGCTGATAATCTTAAGAGGACCTAAAGAAAGTTTAAAGTTTTGATCAATTCCTGGTATCCTCTGAGGCTTGATCATCTCAGGAAGAATCTTGAATTTGTTTTGGATGTAGAATTCAGACATTTGGGCCATCCTTTCCTACTGGAGATTGCTCAGGTGCTCTTCCTTGATCAAACTTGGTTTTTCTTAACTCAGAATTAATTCACAGCCTCTCATTTCCTGTGTCTTAATTTTGAATTCAAGGTATTTTCAAAATACCTCTCTTGGATTAGCTCAACAACATTTATAAGCAAATACGATTTAGCACTGGTTCCTCCTTCCTCAGCATTCAAACAATTCAAGGAGAGCATAATAACATACAGCATCCAGATTCTCTGTGTGCTTTCCATCTTTATGTGGTTTTATTTTAAACTCTATTTCTTTTATTTTTAATTTTTGTCTTTTGAGACAGGGTTTCTTCATATCTTTGTCCTGGAACTCCCTCTGTAGATCAGGTATCCTTCAACTCAGAGATCTGCTTGTCTCTACCTCCCCAGTGCTGGAATTAAAGGTGTGTGCTACCACACCTTGAACTCACAGAGATCCGTATGGCAGTGCCTTGCAGGCATAGGGATTAAAGGTGTGTACCACCACTCCCAACTACTCTTTCTTTCTTTCTTTCTTTCTTTCTTTCTTTCTTTCTTTCTTTCTTTCTTCCTTCCTTCCTTCCTTCCTTACTTACTTTCTTTCTTTCTTTCTTTCTTTCTTTCTTTCTTTCTTTCTTTCTTTCTTATTTTTAGGAACTTTAACCTTTTTTTTCTCCCAAGCCTCCATATACTTTTAAACACACTGTAAGCTATTAAGAGGTTTTCTTTCTCTTTGTATCTGTCTTTACTGTATAACGCTCTTTTTCTGACCACATAAGTCTTTAATTTGCTAAGCAATATGGAAAGAATTAAAGCTGTAGTTTTGATGGTGATATCCAGCCCATTCTTTAATTTTCTGAGATTCCAGCCTAACGGCAGATGTACTGGCTGTAGCCATGTTTAATGCTACAAGTCTATGGCATCTTAAGGTCCTTCCCAGCAAGAAAACTGCAGCAATGTGCTCAAAAAACACACTCAAATGCTCTGTAGCTGGACCTTTTGTCTGAAAGAGTCAGAGTTAGCACTAGCAGGATGAACCAGAAAGCCAGCGTTTTAAAATGGTGTAGCTTTTTTCCTGCTATGGCTGAAAACCAAAAAGCATGCAGTCAGCTTGTCATCAAAATCATTTACGTATTTTGTGGCAGGACCTCTTAAAACAGCTGCTAGGTTTTACAGGTAAAGTTGAGTCAGGAAACCTCTCTTCAATGAGAGTGTTTGCCTCTAGAAACCAGAGCCCACCCGAGAAAGTGCTGCTATCAATAAGCCAAGCCTGACTCTATTATTTTATGTCTGGAAATACTTCCCAAGCTCTTCCAGGTTTTATGTGGATGTAGTTGTCCACATGTTGACCATCATTCTGCTGTCTGAGATTTCCTGTCCTGCCCATTTCCTGCAGTTTTTAAGTCACAAAAGAATTTACACAAAGGTCTACATTAAGTATAAACTGATTGGTCTAGTAGCTCAGACATCTTATTAACACTTATAACATATATTAGCCCATTATTGATTTCATTTCTGTGTTAACCACATCATTTGGTTCCTTATTTGGCAAAACAGTCACATCTTGCTTCTTCTGTGGCTGAGTCATGACTGCAGACTAGGACTTCCTCTTCCCAGAACTCGCCTTTCTCATTGAACCACCTCTATTTCCTGTCTGGTTGTTCTGCCTATACTTCCTGCCTGGCTACTGGCCAATAAGCGTTTCTTTTTTTTTAATATAATTGACAGGATACATTCCATTGTCCTACAGCAGCATCTGATATTCAGATCAAGGATCAATGACTCAGATATCACTGCAGAGACCACAAAACTTATTTGCAAGTGACTCTGTGTAAGTAAGAAATCTATGAAGGAAGCAATAGAGAGAGAAATATATCTACATGATGAAATTAAAATCTGTAAACTTTTAAAATGTGTTTAAATACCTTGGTAGAAGTAGGGTATTTTATTTTAGCCAAAAACAATTTGATTACTCACTAGCAATCTGAGAAGATCAGAATAGATTCTAAGATCTATAAACAGCATTTTGACTTGACAGCATTCTCAGAAAGGACGTGAGGCTCAGGGACACCTTACGCAGTGGTTAGCTAGAAATATCCTACAAGCTCCTGAACCTCAGCTACTGTCTCTAGCTGCATTACTTCCATGCTCTGAGTACCACAGCATAGCCAGGAACAATGATGAAATTGATGTTCATGTTTTATGTGAGGATGATGAAGGGAGTGTAGGAAATCAAGGTTAAATACCAGGGTATTCCTACAGGATCTGTTGGCTCTTACTGAAATCCTAAATTCTATTCTAATTGGAGAATTAACTGGAGCTCAGTTGTGAATCTAGGGACCCCACTCCCAATGATCCTTCAGTCGCTTCAAGATTGATCCTGGTGCACAAAGCACAGCCAGGTCTGCCCTGTGTGGTGTTATCTATCATCATCAGTCATACATTCCATATATGGTGCATCTGGGTTTCTCTCCTTCAACCCTAAAACATTTATAGGTTGAAAAGGTCATGAGGCAGATGAGTTGCACCATGACAGTCATGCTCTTTTGGAGGCTCCAGTGAGAAGGGGATGTGGCTTCACAGCTAGATTTTGGCTTTCATCCTGAGTCTGAGGTTTCTTTGAATTGTAAGAGATTCCTGGGGAGTACAGGAGGTTTTCATTTCCCCTTCATGTGAATGCCATTTGCTTCATGCTTCTTAGTAGAAATAGAAATGGATACTCAGGAACATTTTCCTAGTCTGGCTGGGTTTCCAATCCCTGACAAACAAAAAATATTTTAAGTCACACTGTGCAGAGCTGCCAGGCAAAAGATGGGAATGTTTACCATGAGTCCACATTCAATCAATGGTCGTAGAATGGGGTATCACTTACTCTATGCATTTGAATGTCTTTAATATTTCATGAAGTAGATTGATGGAACTGGGGTTCATAGTGATCAGAAATCATAGTTATGAAAACGTAGAATTTATTCTTTTAGTTTCAGTAGAGTAATCTTATTCGTATCCCTCATCTAGAAGATAACCTGTGATTACTAACATTTATTATGTGTGATCCCATGTGTTCACTGGGAAAAATAACTCAAATGACTGAATTGGATCCTATCCTATTAGTCTCACCGTATTTACCTTTCTAATTAGGGACACCATACCTCGAAACTTGTCCTTGAATATCTTTACGTAGATCAGTCTGTTTTTCTCTTTCTCTTTTTATAAATCTCACCTTCTCACTCCTCAGGTTGTAGCACATAAGAACCCAGATTTTATGATTATTGCATTGTTGATGGATGAGAAAGCAGTTCATAACATTCATGAAAAAAAGTAGCATCCAACCAGACTTGAGGCTTATGTGATCTGAAGAAAACAAATAAGACAGAGAAACCTATGTGATGACAAGACATGGAAGCAGGTATACTTGAACAGTGGGAATTGCTTGCCTTGTGGGGAGGATAACCATAGAGGACAAAGGACTGCAGGGCTTTGTCACATGCCTTAGTAATGTAAATCACCAGGGAAGGGAAATGAGCTGAACCAACCTTCCCTTTCATATCCCAAAGAACGTCCACCATTTACTTTATTGGTACCCCACATTTTATGTCCCTCAATTTGTTGTGCACAATTTAATTACTGTGAGTGGCAGTGGTGGAGGTAGAACTTAAAATAGATGAGACAGTCATCCTTGTAAATACTGATGGGGAACCAATACTATGAGTGCTGTGTTCACCTTATTCATGATGTCCAGTAGGTTAGAAGAATATTTTTCAGACATGTTTAGTATGTCTCACCTTGGGTTTGTCTGATATTCTCATTGCAGTTACATAAAGGTGAAGGAATAGCAGCAAAATAAAGACACATTTCTGATACATTTGGGAATTTGTTTTAGGTTATCTTCTTATTCCCATATTTTGACTTTAGCTATTGCAGATATAGCTTGCATCTGTATTCTATACTCTCTTGATCCATGGGGTTTTGTTTCTGTGAATCTGTCTAGAAGGAAGTCACTAAGCAAAAGTCATTTGCAAAGGGAATAAGTTGATGTTAAAGTCACACATTATTTATAATTATCTTCTGTTTGAGAGGTAGATCCTTATTTTTAAGTGTTTCATCAGTTATCTTTTTTCTTATGTGGTGACCAAATAGAACTCATTTAATGGGCCATGTTATCTTGACTATACCAGTTAGTCCATTTGTGTTTTGGTAAAATTTCATCAACATAATACAAAATAGAGACTTCGTGGAACAAAGAATCTCAGGTAGAAAATATGCTTTCCTAATATTGGTCTGTAGGCAAGACTGTAGGAGCCATTTTCTTGATTAATGAGTAATTTGGGAGGGCCTATGCCAATGTGAAAGATGCCATCCATGAAAATGTTTTCCTGGCTTGTATAAGAAATCAGGCAAAACAAACATGAAGAGCAAGCTGTTCAGCTGAGTTCATGCTTTCTGATTCAGTCCCAACCTTCACATTCCTACTTTGATTTATTGTCCTGATTTTCCTCATGGTGGATTTTGAGAGTTAAGATGACAGAAACCCTTTCATTCACATTTTGGTCTTGTTCATAGAGTTGATCATATTTATTGATCACAAGGTAGGACAATAGAAAATTCTTCTCATGAAAGTATTGAAGGAGGGGACATGACCAATTATCCAATTACAACCTCAGCCACACACAAAGTCCCCCTTCCAGATACATCTACACATTCCAACATACACTGACACACAGAGAATGAGAGCCTCACTTCCAGATATAGTCCCACACCCATCCTACACAACCACACTCAGAAAAACTCTCACATTCATTTTTTAAATAGGGTCACCTGGGTGGCCTGGACTTTCTATATAGACCAAATGATGAGAGATTTTTTTGATTTTGTCTCCATATTGAATGGATTGAGACTATATTTCACCATGCCCAACCAACAAATAGTGTTTTCGATAGTTAATGAATTTATTTTCTTGAAATCTTTCAACACACTATACTTTTATAATTATTTACTTTCTCTCTTCTTTTGCAGGTCCTACCCATTTCTCCATTTCCAGAATTCCATAATGGTCAGTTTTAAGGGTTATTTAAGAAGACATATAAGGGTTTGGACTCAAGGCACTCATTTTCTTATAAACAGTTAATGCTTTAAAAATCCAAAATTGGCAAAACAATTTCTCTTTTAAAAATTATTATACAATAAATGTATTTGCTTTTACAGATTGCAATTATTTTATCAATGTATAGTTAAAATATCCAGGGCTCAAGTGTTGGTTCAGTGGTATGGTGCCTGCCTCCCAGTATTAGTATTTTAACTTGATTCACAACACTTCGCTTACAAGCTGGGTGTGATGGTTTATCCTATATTCCTAGCACTGGGGGTGTTGTGACTGGAAGACCAGCCATCCAAAAAATCTATCTGCACATTTGTGCTCCACATTAATCTTGATATCCTGTCTTTAAAGTAATACAGAAATCAACTGATAAACACACTCAATCTCAACTCTAGCCTCTAGACACATGTGTAAACCACACACAGTCTAGTAAGTTAGCATTTTCAGCCATCCAAATCCGATCTTTACCCTGCATGAAATCCATGTTCTATAGTTATTTAGAACTGTGTCATGGATGCTGCAGACCTTGGATGAACTGCTTGCTATAAAGGCCAAGAGATTAACTCCTGTAGACTTGTTTCTTCTCCACAACTTTCCACCTGCACTCCCTATTCTGGGGACTCCCATTCCATTTCCAGCCAGGAGAGTGTCACATTTAAGTCTCTGAAAGTGAGAAATGATATTTGTCTAGGTGCTTAATTTCTATTTTTAAGCTTGATTCTTAAATTTAAGAAATTTCACATAGTCAGAAAGCACCCTACCATAGAGCTACAAGCCAATATTTTAAAACATAACATTTTTCTATAGAAAATAATTTTTGATGACTGAATCTTTGCACTACTTAAATTAACACCAAGAATCACAAATTTAATTATAACTGATTTTGTAAAGGATCAATCTACTGAGCATGGATCTTGAGAATGTTGGGGAAGGGAGGATAAATCAAAACAAAGAATACAGAAGGAGGAGGCCAGGAGAAGTAGAAAGAAACTGTACTCTCAGCTAGTGACTCCTATTCTGAGTCTGGACTCCATGATCTTTTCAAGACTACTGCATGTGCTAGAATCTTACTACTCATGTTCAACCCACACACCTGAATGAAAAGTTAAAAATGAGAGCAGAGTGCATATATGAATAACCATATCTGCCACAGACCATAAAGAGGCAGACAGGGCCTGTTCAGTTGTGTTCTCTGACTCTGGTGCTTTGAGAGTCATTAAAATCTTAAAGAAGAATGGGAACTGGAAAGCCTTCAGAGGCTTTCTCAGGGTAACGGAGACTTGAAGTCAAACCAAGAGCCCAGCCCTGCAGCTCACCTGACCTCAGAGCAGGTTTCTGTGTTCTGATGATGTGGTAACCTCTATACTGTAAACTATCTATAGATGATGAGAAAGTATGCATCTTTGAAGCCAGCACTCAGACGTATACACACAGGCAGATATACAACAACATTGACAACCCTTTCCACAAACACTCTTACAAGAGAAGATGGA